GATTAGAAACAGCAGAAAATTCTGGAAGTGCCTCAGACACAAATGTACGTCAAGGCCTCACCTAGGCTGGATGTACCTCTCAAGGATGGCTCCACATCTGATCCAATCTCTGGTCAGAATTGCCTGGTTCCCTACAAGAAACAGACTGAGGTCCATGGTCCTGCGCCCTTCATCAGCAGCCCTTAGCTCTCTGGCTGTATTTCTTACTGCAATTCTGCCCTGACTGTCTGTCGTCTTGGGTCTTCTCCCTTTACTCCAACCACACTGCCTCTGGTCCTGATTCAGACATCTGCTCAGTTACACTGTGGCTGTGGTAATGTCTTCTGTACCACAGCTGCCAGTCAAAGAGACACAACTCACAAGCTGCTTCCTCCTCAGAGGAAAAGAATGAGTTTTTGAGGAGCAGCTGTCTATCTCCACCCCTGCCCCACAGTGTCACAGCAGTGCTATGATTATCATCAGCCCTGTTGTCCCCTATAGGTCCTGGCCACGTCAGCATCAAAGGCACTAGTTTTACAAGATGAATTCCTGCATTCTCCTTTTTGGAAGGAAAGCATCTCCCTTAATTAATCCTTCCTCATTCTACCCGCTTTTATTTTTTTCACTATTGCCTCTAGATTCAAATCTTTAAAGGTAGTACAATAACAACCCCTTCTTTTCTCAAGCCAATTTGTGCTGGATCTAGACTCTTGCAATGTTCATTTTTCTGTGTCCTCGTTCTGCCCACCCTGGAAAGAAGAGTGCCACGGGAGGTGGGGTTTGGTAACATGGATCATCTGTTTCTGAGCATCTCGTGACTATGACAAGTGTTTCAGAAAAAAGCCTTAAGAAATCTAGATGAAAACCAATGCCCCATGGAAACACATAAATATTTTATCAGGCTGTGAGCAGGACTCTTGCTCATAAATGTTTGAATACCTTGGTAGCATAATGTCCAGGGGCTGATTAGAGTCAGCTTGTACTGGAATGGGAAGGCTGAGAGAGAAGGAAGGGGAATACAATAGCAGAGAGGGAGAGAGGGAGAGAAGAAACGAGGGAGAAAGGGAAGTGGGGGAGAGACAGACAGACTCTCCCTACATAGTTTGGGCTGGTCTTGAACTCACTATGTAATCCAAGCTGGCCTCAAAGTCATGGCAATACTCCTGCCTCAGCCTCCCAAGTACTGGGATCACGGGCATGAACCACCACAACCAGCCTAGTTTTTCCTCTAATGAACCAAAAACATTTAGGTATACCTGAGGGCTCCCTCAATTTGCATAGTCACTCATTTTCCAAGTGCAGGAGTGGGAAGAGGCCAGCTCCCAGAGGAGCTCTCCAGAGCAGACACTGGCTAGGTTGCAGACAGGCTGCCACATGACTCACAGTCCCCATAACCTTGCCACACTCCTCTCAGCAAGACTTTCATATAAGCTACTTAGGTCTCCAAATAAGGCAGATTTTGTAAAGAGGTTCATGGTAGTTTTATTCAAAATGGCCCCAAACTCTAAGCAATCTCTGTCCACCAATAAAGCCATGACTAAACACATAGCAGACATTCACAAAACAACTACCTTGAAATAAAAAGAAATAAACGACTGATATACTGAGCAACATACACAATCTCACAGAATTTATGTAGAACAAAAAGAAGCCACACCTAAGATTATATTCTGCACACTTGATCTTAGCCAAAAGGCCACGAAGCGATTCCTCTTTTCTTATTTTTTAGTTTTTGGTACTGGGGATAAAACTCGGGACCTTGCACTTGCGAGGCAGGCAGCAGAACCACTGAGCTAAATCCCCCGCCAAGATGATATTTTGTATAGTTTCACGTATTTAAATTCAGGAAGCAGCAAACTCCAAGACAATCAAAATCAGAACAAGGGTTGCTTCTAGATGGTTGAGGTGGCTAAAAAGTGGCATGAGTTAAATTTCTCAGATTAAAATGTTTTCTATCTTGTTTGGGATGTAGCTTTGTCAAAACTGGCCCAGCTTCTAGTACATGATTCAGCACAGACACACTGTGAGAATACAAGAGGTCCCGAGTGAGCTTCAGGATCATCACTTTACCTATAAAATATTGATTGCCTGCATTACCAAAAGGGGCTTCTAGTGTTTTACCAAGAGTTTCACAATCCTTATGGAAGACAATGGCTTGTTGGAATAGTTTAAATATCTAATTAATTCAACAGTATTCATGAATTACTTATGATCTTCCAAACAGGAACATAACCATAAATAAAGCAAAAAAACGAAAACAAAAACAAACTTTTGTTCTTACGGAGTTTACATTTGAGGAGGAATATGCCTGATTAACAACAACAACAAAAAGATATATAATGTCAGGTCCCATGAAGAAAGAAAAAGTATGGTGAAACAAGAGTAATTGAGGCTTTGTTTTAAGATCAGATGGTCAGGGATGGTCTTGTGAAGGAGATCCCATTTTTTTTCCTGGTACTGGGATTAAACTCAGGACCTTGTGCTTGCAAGGTAGGCACGGTGCCACTGAGCTAAATCCCTGACCCTCAGAGGTCACATTCTTAAAAGACTTCACAGAGGTGAGGAAATAAACTGGTCCAGGGTCTGAGGGAAGAGCAAGGACAACACGCGAGAGCACAGAAGAGACTGAGGCCAGACTGGATCAGGGAGGGCTCAATCTCTGGCCTCAGGGGAGTTGGGTTTTATCTGATGTGTGTCACACAGAGGAGTGGTACACTCCAACCCAAGTGTTAAGAATAAGAGAAAGAAGGCCATTAAGAGATATGCCAGAGATTCTTATGGAAGTCAGGAGAATAAGATCCCTGATATTTTTCTCAAAATTTTCATATCCTTCGTGCACCTATTTCTTTACCACCTTCTGATTCAAACTGCCCAGGGCTACATCTACTACATCTGGATCCTAAACTCTGAATTTTATTAACAAGTTTATGTTTTAAGATAATGATAAGTTTATAAGAAGGGAAATAGGTAATTTCTTGGTATATCTGAAACTTTTCATAATAAAAAAATGAGACATAGGAATTGACATCCTTTATCAGGTAAATTCATCAGCAACTAAACATGAGCATTGTGGTTCTCAATCCTTTCTGTAAAACAAAGGCTTTGATTTTTTTTCACTGAATGTACAGTGTTTCTTTCAACTCTTCTTTCAACTTCTCTGCCCAAGACACAAGACACTCCATTTTTGCTTTTTTAATTTCTGTTGCCTATTAGGGCTTTGGCCTTTCTTTTCTCTCTCCCTAGCCCTCAACGACTTTCGAAAAACTTGTAAAGGATAGGATGAAGTGCGAGTTTGAGGTGAGAGGGCAGCACTTCACAGAGAAGGGGCTGCTTCTGCTCTCATCCTCCTCCTACCCCAGCTAGAAATGCCCTTGTGAAATAAATAAGTCACACATGTGGAAATACCGAATAGTTTCTCTGGTGTGAATAAACTATAATAGTACATAAGATCCTAATGATATAATGGACAATGTGAAATAGGAAGAAAGGGGCTAAAGGTGTAGGGAAAGTGGGAAAGGTAGGGGGAAGCTAATAAGGTAAAAGAAAAAAATATGAGAAAATGAAAAAATGGAAATGAATTGTTTGTAAAGGGGGAGGGTAGGAGGGGTGAAGGGAGGGCAGGGACAAGGGGAAAAAATGAGAATCAAGACCTGTCATGTAAAGGTACAAGATCCCAATAATGAATGTAAGTGTACTCTATACCTAAAATGTACCAATAAACTCAATGAGAAAAAAAAAAAAAAGCCCTTGTGGTCAAAGAAAAGGAACAATTAGAACCCTTAACACGAAACAAGCTGTGAAGTGCCCCTCCTTTCCCGGAGTCTCTTTCTCTCAGTCATTGCTCTCCCATTCGCTGGAGGGCCCTCAAGGCTGGAAGCTGCTTCTCCCACCACCCTCTGGGTCACTCCCAGGTCCCATTTCTGCCTCCACTAGACCAGAGGCTCTCCATCCCCATCCTCCCATTACTCCGCCTCTGATCAGGACAACTCTAGACTTTATTGGGAAAAAAGGAGAAGCTAAAAGCTGGAGGTAAGAGAGGGGGCCACAAAGGAAGCACCCGAGAGATAGCGATGGTCCTTAAGTGAAATCAGGCTGGCAAAGTGGGGACCAGAGTGTCACCTCCAGAGGTTTCCAACCATCCTAAGAGGTTCCTAAGGAGCAAAGCCTACAGAGCACTTTTCTCTCTAGATTCAAATTGCCTTAACCCATGTGCAAGTACTTCCCCTGACATTTATCCGCAGGCCCCTTTGCTCCACCTGAGGCAACTAAATAATCCGCCTTTGCAAACCCGGCTGCTGTCCAAACTACGAGGAGACTCTTGGTGCAGAATTTAGCCATTGACAGAGAAAACTTAATATTTCTTTGCAGCTGTTGCATCAACATTTTTTCCCAAAGTTTTAACCCCCACCTGAAAATCTTTCACCTGGAGATGCAAAAATGTAATGTCGTCCTCCATATCCCGGTTTAAAGAACTACACCACGAAAGATATTTCATATAGGCTAGGACATAAATTTTCCTATTACTTGTGCACGGGTGTACCCAGAAAACCAACAAAGGGGTAAAAGCAGCCACACCATGACTTCTCTCTCCCAGCTTTTTACCCTGAAATATTAACAAAACTCAGTGAGGAAGGAAAAACGTAAGGTTCTCATTCTTCAGCAGCACGTGCACCTAGCGTTCTAACAAGAAGCCTCTGATTTCTGCCAGAATAATAACTGGGTACAGGCTGTCTGCCAGGGTTCGAGGATGCTGGGCGAGGGGCCACAGCGCAGCAGGAGTTGCTCCTGGTCCGCGGGGTGCCTGTCTGCACCCAGCGGGGCCCTGCTCCTCTGGGCAGGTCTGGGACGCGCTCGGTGGGGAGGCTCTGGGAAGTCCCCAGGTAGTGGGAACTGTTCTGGGGTCTCACTTCCAGCAGACCCAGGCCCTCTTCGCACTGCGCACCGGGATTCCCCCTTCTGAAAGCCGCACGCCAAGTCTCCAAGAGCGACCCCGGCCCTCGAGCCTCTCAAGAGTTTCTTACCCGCGTCCAAAGACACTGCCCACATTCCGGGAGGACGGGCCGCCCTCCACTCTTTGCACTTGCTGCTCTGCAATTTGGGGTCTGGGGTTCTGGGACCAGGGCGTCCGCACAGAGGTCTACAGAGTTCCGAACCGGGCCTCACCTCGCCGGGTCCCTCCCTGGCGGAGAAGCGCCACGCCGTGGCAGTGAGGGATGCCGGGGTCCTCCGGG